AGTGCCAGCGCTCAGCCTGGGCACTGCCCTGCCCCATGCCAGGAGGGGGGACAGGAGGCCAGAGGAGAGACTTGGCTGGCGCTGTGATGGAGCCAGGGACCATCAGCTCTTCTCGCCCAGGGGTGATGGGGTCCCTTGAGGAAGGAGCACTGGGATGGGTCTCCCTGGCCAGGGAGTCTCAGCAGGGTGGAGGCAGCGGGCTGCGCTCTAGCCCACCCAGGCAGCATCCCTGGCTGGGAAAAAGCAACCAGGCTGTGGGGAAACCTGGGGAGCTGCTGGCAGCTGGCTGGGGCTGGCAGGACCCGTGGGGCCAGTACATGCTCAGGGTAGCTGGCTGCTTTGGAGGAGCCATGCAGCTGCAGGGTGACAGGGGGATGCCCCGCCTGCCCAGCTCAGCCTCCTCTGCCAGGGCTCCTGAAGGATTTATCAACCCCAAGTGGACCTTGCTGATGAATCAATTAAAATCATAGCCTATCAAAAGCATCCAGGTTCCTCCCCATGGGGCACCAGTTGTTACCCGATGTGGTGGCACTGCCATGGCCAGCTCTGGGTGAGATTGGGAGCTGCTTCCAGTCATAGCATCCCCAAGCTCTGTCTGCCAGGCAGAAACTGCCTTCTGTCAGCATCTCTGCCTGGCAAAGCTGGCCACAGCGCCCTGGTACCTCCCAGGGACCACGGCAGGATGGGCCACGATGGATCAGGCTGTGACACAGTGCCAGTGGAGCTACCTCATGTCAGGATAAAACCTGGATCACCCCCAAGAGGTCTCTCCTGCTTACTCCCCCCATCTCCCGAAGGAGCCAGGCTATCCAGGTTAGCAAGCTCCCCAGCTCCAGGGCTGTCACTGGCCACCCCATGCTGCTGCACCATCCTGATGAGAGTGCTGGAAAGCAAGACAGTAGCGGGAAGGAGACAACAGCGATAGCTCAGGGAGAGGCATTTGGGGGGCAGGTTCCTGGGGGAGTGCAGGGAGGAGCACCCAGGGCGCTCCTGGAGCAGAATTGATTCCTGCAGCACAAGCACTGCCTTCTGTGCCTATTTGTAGATGTGCAGGAAAACAGGGAGCAAGAGACCCCAGCTCCCCGCCTCCACAGCCAGCCCTCTCTCCTAGGGACACGGCCCCATCGCCTCCCTGCTCACAAGCCGCTAGCAGCACCGGAGCCTGCCCGCACCGCGGGCTGCTTCCCCACATTATACAGCGCTGTCACGAGCCACCGAGTCCCCAGGTGTTTGGTGCAATAATGCAAAGCAGATCTAATCCACCCCAGACCCGAGCTCTCTGCAGTCCCCTCCCTGCAGGCTGAGCGTATCCCCTGGCTGGGTGTGGGGGGAGAGACCCAGGGCTGTGGGTGCTCTGGGTGCCCCTGGCACGCTGAAGCTGATGGGTGATTCCCTCCTTGCCCCTGCATGCCCGTTGCAGCTCCCCAGGGCTTTTCTCTGCCAAAAGCACTCTGTAAGCATTTGCTCTGCAGCAATAAATCAGAAGGATGATCACACAAGCATGGGCCGGCGCTGGGCTCCCTGGGACTGGGGCGCAGCGAGGCGCCTGAGGCGATGCTTCGTCCCAGAACGACTCATTTATTTCCCGACATTTCAGTGCTAAGCCCAGTGCTCACAGCTTGGGGGGGGTCCCAAGACACACTGGCAGGTCTCTTTGCTCCCTGGGTTGTCTGGCTCCTTTAGAGGCAGAGCAGAGCAAGCAGGGACTCCTCTGCACTCCACATGCGGTCCCAGAGGGTCCCCAGGGCTGACTGGGGGCTGACATGCCTGCAGCAGCCTCGGTACCCCAGGGCAAGGTGGTTCCCTGTCCCTGGACTGTGCCTGGCTGTCAGTGTTTCTCCTGCTCACAGCCTGGCAGGAAGCAGCGGGGGGCAGCCAAAATCCTTTCCCCCTCTGACAGCCCCATATGTGTGTTGAGCTTGCAAGTTCTCAGCTCCCTGAGAGTCACAGGGGTGACAGGCTCTCCAGTGGCTGGGAGGAGGCTCCAGGGCTCTGAGACAGGGCTGGGGGAGAAAAGGCTGTTCAGGGAGCCAGAGCAGAGCCGAGGTCACCTCGTGCTGCCTCTCCTTCCCATCCCGAGGGCCAGGCAGAATGCTGTGCGAGCGGGAGCTGGATGCACAGCTCTCCTGCGATCAGACCCAGATCAGGGGCTGCTGACAGCTCCTTTCTCTCCCGCGCTACTCCTTTCAGCCCATGCCTCCCCACGGCCCTGGCTGACGCAGCTGCAGATGAACAGACAAGGAGAGCCAGGCAGCACTCCCGGCCCGCTTTGCTGTCCCCTGGGAGGCACAGATATGGCAGCTTTAGATCGAGACTCTTCGGAAGCAAGAGCAGCCCTGGCTATCAGCAGACAGTGGCTGGCCGGCTCCCGGCACTCGCTTCCACTGGCTGCGTGACATGGGCAGTGGGTTTTAGGATGCTGAGGCAGCCAGGACTGGGGTGCTGGGCCCCCCGATGCAGAGCTATGGGATGCTGCAGCTCCCACCAGCGCTGGGCTGAGCGCCTGGGACATGGGCAGACCTGGCAGCAACAGCCAACCCCCTGCCCCAGCTCTGGGAGTGGTGAGAGCCCAGTGCCACCCTGCTCTGTGCAGAACATCCCCTGGGGAATGGGATCTCCATGCCTGGGGAGACTCCCAGGACCCCTGAGACCCTCTTAGACTGGAAGAAGGTGGGCCACGGCCAAGTAAAGCCCTATAGCCCCACTCTGGGGTAGCTGGCCTCAGGAATTGGTGCAAATGGGGTGCCTTTACACCGCCTTCTTGCCCTCACCCATCCTCTCTTTCCTGGGGAGCATGGGGGTGTGGGTGCCAGAGATGCAATGGGTCTCTGTCCCTGTGGGTGGCAGTCTGGAGTGTACCACGGTGTCCCTTGAGGGAGGCAGAAGCACAGACACAGCTGCTGGGACTGGAGGGGACACGTGAGGATGTCTCCAGTGGGGGAAAACGAGGGGGTCCTTCTGCAGCCCACACCTTGAAGCGCTCGGACCGCACTGCTGCTGCCATGGAAACTGCTGTGGAGCATCATCCTGCCGCACCGGTCAGGGCGACAAGGCCACCACAGTCTCTAGCCTTCCGTAGGGTCTGCTTACGGGCACCTGGGTTGACAGGGTGGGAGAGGCTGGGTGCTCCTTGCCAGCCACACTTCCTGGGTCACCCTGGGGCAGTGACGGGATGGAGGCACCTCTGCGCAGGCACCCAGGGCAAGGCAGGAACAGAAAGGCTGGGGAAGTGCTGGCAGGGGGTGTCTGGTGCCATTCCCAGACAAACCCAGCTCCCACGCGGCCAGGGGCTCCACGCTGCTTGGCCTCCCACAAACATAAATCATTTTCTAATTTATAACATGAATAATTGATCTTGCCTCCGTAGCTGGCAATAAATCTCCTGTGCGCACATGCATAAGAAAATAATAATAATGAAAGCGATCAGGATCTGCTGCCATCGATTACCTGCGAGAGGGACCATGGTCCCCTGTGTGCCACAGCTGGATGGGGCAGGGGTTGCTCCCCAGGGGATGCCTGGTGGCCCTGCCTGGTGTGAGCCTTCCTTGTCCTGCATTGAGCCGCATGGCTGGGGCAGGATGACCCTATATATCTGAGTTTGAGCCCCCGTGGCTGTACTGGGACCCACACTGAGCAGCCAGGAAGGTCTGGGTACTTCAGGGCACCCCAGACCTCAAGAATCAGCCCTGTAGCAGCACTCAAGGAGGGATAAGATGCTTGGCACAGCCCCATGCACAGATGCCCCATGCATCAGTGGCCCTCAGTGACACCTTGCCAGGGTGTGAGGGAGCTGCTGCAGTCCCTGGTCCCTCAGCAGCCGCGCAGCCTCTGGGGAGCTGCAGAAGCCACGTTGGCTGCCAGCTGCCCTGGCACCAGCCTCACGTCCCCCACCACAGGCAAGGTGGTGGGCACGATCACTCCTCCCTCACCTGCACCATGAGGCTGCCTGGGAAGCAGCTGCTTGGGAGTCGCACCAGAGAGCTTTGACTCATTAGGAAGCCAGTCCTGGGGGCGGGGAGGGGGGGGGGGGGGGCAGAGACCCCTCCGTTCATCAGCCAGACAAAGCAGGGTGGCTGCAAGCAGGGTCACGGCCCCGCTATGCCCTTGGGCTGCAGTGACAGCAAGCCCCACGCCTGCTTGCACCCCCTGGGCCACCCCCTTGCCCCTGCCAGCCCGAGCCCTGCCCGGGGGAGAGTCCAGCCCTGTTCCCACGGGTGCCGCATCCTTCCCCCGCAGGTGCAGGCCCCGGTTTCAGGAGTGCTGTGCAGCACCAGCACTTCATTAGGAGCCGGTGGATGCTCCGGTCCCCGGGCACGCTTCCCTCGCTGCCTGCGAGCGTCGGGGCCCCAGTTCATTACGTGCTGGGCGCAGGCAGGCTGCTCCTCGCCAAACCCCAGGAAGGAAGCGGAGCAAACCTGCCTGGCGCAGACACCTCTCCCGTGGCTCTGTGGCCGGGGTGTGGGATGTGGCCCAGGGGTGCTTGACCCACAGCAATTCTCTCTGGACGCCCCCCCGGGTGGGAGCGGGGGTCTGCTGGCCCAGCCAGCACTGCTGCAGCGAGCACTGCTACTCTCGCCCGGTGCGTGATGTTAAACGGTAATGGGAAATACACGGTAGCCTCCCGTGGGGTCACCCGGGGGTGGGAGTGGGGGTCGCTCTCCCTCCCGCAGCCCCGTGTGCATCATCCAGCCACCGAGCCGCTGCCCCCGGCCCCTTCCCCCGGCTGCTGGGTGCTGCCCGGGGGGGGAAAGGCCGCGGGTGCACCGGGGCTGTCCGTGGCGGTCCCGGCTCCGGGGCTGCGCCGAGGATCAGGGCCGGGCGCGGGGGTGACGGCTCCAATTCCCACGGGGGACCGGGAGGCTGCGGGGCTGCCGCCGCGGGGGACGAGCGGCCGCCCGGGGCGGTGCCGGTGCCGGTGCCGGTGCCGGTGCCGGTGCCGCACTACAGGTCCCGGCGCTCCCCGCGGCGGGGCGGGACGGGGCGGGCCCGGCGCGGCGGAAGCGGCGGTGGCGGCGCGGAGCGGCGGGGGATCCGGCGCGGCCACGGGTAACGGCGGGGGCCTGGCAGGCGGCACGGCACGGCGGGGCGTCCGGGGTGGGGGGGGCACAGTAGCGGGGGGGGGGGGGGGCCCGCCCTGCCCGGTCCCCGGTCCGCACACTGTGGCCCCTGTCCCGCTCTTCCTCACCCCCTGTCCCTGCCCTGACCCCCACCCCCTGTCCCTGCCCTGACCCCCACCCCCTGTCCCTGCCTCGCCCCCCCACCCCCTGTCCCTGCCTCGCCCCCCCACCCCCTGTCCCTGCCTCGCCCCCCCACCCCCTGTCCCTGCCTCGCCCCCCCACCCCCTGTCCCTGCCTCGCCCCCCCACCCCCTGTCCCTGCCTCGTCCCCCACCCCCTGTCCCTGCCTCGTCCCCCACCCCCTGTCCCTGTCTCGCCCCCCCACCCCCTGTCCCTGCCTCGTCCCCCACCCCCTGTCCCTGTCTTGCCCCCCACCCCCTGTCCCTGCCTCGCCCCCCACCCCCTGTCCCTGCCTCGCCCCCCACCCCCTGTCCCTGTCTCGCCCCCCACCCCCTGTCCCTGCCTCGTCCCCCACCCCCTGTCCCTGCCTCGTCCCCCACCCCCTGTCCCTGCCTCGCCCCCCCACCCCCTGTCCCTGCCTTGTCCCCCACCCCCAGTCCAAGCCCAGACCCCCACCTCATGCCCCAGCCCTGTCCCTGACTGCGCTGGCACTCAGCGCCCGGGAGCACCCGGATAACATGGCACATTGCAGACCCCATAACTCTCCCCAGCTTATTGAGTCATGAGGCGATGCTGGCGGTGACAGCCCTCGAGGGCAGGGGAGTTATACGACATCCCCGGGTGCTCGGTGCACCGGGCTCCCTTGGCTCGTAAAACACGTGCCCGGTGCTCCCGGGTGCTGGACGCTGTTTTTCACGGCTGCCTGCCTGCCCTCGGCATCCCCTCCATCCTTCACGCTGCCTGCAGGGCTCTGTGTGCTGCCCACTGTGGGGTTGTAGCCCTGGGGTGGCCCATGGCACTATGCCAGTGACGAGCTTCTGCCCCTTGCCCATTTTGAGGTGGTCACCCCGGCCACCTGCTTCCCGTTCTGAGCACACCACAGGACTCTAGGCCTTGCTTCCAGGATCCTCCTGCCCACCGAGTAGCTGCTTTGGGTTATTTTATCTTGATTTTCCTGGAGTGGGTTCCCCTCTGTTTCCTGCCTAAATTTCCTTGATCCTTTGAATGGTTTCTCTGCTCTGGCCAGTGTTTGCAACACCTCTGCTCAGTGTCATCTGCGAATTTAATTACAATTCACTATTCAACTGAAAGTTTGGGAGATGGTGTAAAATGATACCGTGAAGTTCAGCTAAATTGTGTCTTGCTTGCCTTATCCAGAAGCTTTGCCCAGCAATTCTTCTGAAATAACTCCTACCAGGCAAGCCAGTGTCCTTCATCCAGGAGCCAATCGTGGTGGGTGCGCAGGCTCCTTCCTCTGCCTGTTGTGCTCTGTGCTAGGGATGGGCACAGGGTTTATCCTGCACCTGGCTCTGTTTTTATTGTCCTTTCTCACACAGAAAATCAGCGCCTGGCTTGCTCTGCCTGTCACCAGGGCCCTGGTTTCTTCCCGGCACCACGTGTGTGTCAGCAGGTTAATCGGTTCATCCTGGCGCTGGCCGCGCCAGCCAGGTGATGGTGTCTATGTGGAGATGCTGTTTTTGCTTTCCCTGCAGCTGTTTTTGCGAGGCTGCCGCCTCATTTGCATTTTTCTGGTTAAAAACAGTAATTTTGCCCTTTTGAGTCATCTTTATTTTTGAGCTGTCATTAATTTTCTCTCCCTCCTTGTTTATTAATAGATCTTTTCACTTTTGTGCTGATTCTGCCTGGGTATATTTGTAAAGTCCTTTGTATTCCCCATAGCCCTCCGGCTGTTAACTCCTTTTGCTGGTTTGTTGTCCCTTTTCCCCCCAGCAGCTGTGAGGGGACACTATTGACTTACAAATCCTCCTTCTGTCTGAAACATTCCCCTTCTCTTGTTCCAGGTATCTCCTAAGACCGTCTCTCCCAGGTATCTCCTAGGAGCATCACAAATGAAAGGCATGATTGAAATCTCTCTTTTCTCAGTGCCTTTGACGCCTTTGCTGCCTCCTCGCCTAGCCAGCATTTGCTCTGGCTGTTGGAGAGCATCTTTCTCCCACGGGGCTGCAGGCAGGCGTTGGACAGGACATGGCTCTCTGCTCCGTGAAGCACTTTGCTTTGCCTCACGCCAGCGGCTCTGCGTTCTTGCCTTTGCTTTGCCTCTCCCTGCCAGGTATCTAGGTCCTTCTCTGGCCCTGTCGCCTGCTACATGAGCCAGGCGGGCTGGGCTGGAGCTCTGCTGAGAGCAGGAGAGGTGCAGGGTAGCCAAATCCTTTGACAATCCTTACCCGGGCTGCCAGGCGCCCGTGTTGTGCAGTCGGCGAGCGTGCCACGGCACGTGCCTGGCATGGGATGAGCTCTGCGAGCAGCGGGTTCCCCAGCGGGGCTGTTTAGAATCACCTTGTACCTGCCTTTTTATTATATTTATTATATTTATTTTTTTTTCCCCTCCAAAGAGCCCAATCTGTGTCAGGCTGTAAAGAGTGACATTGTAGGAGTGCGAGCTGCATGCCGAAGCTGTACACAGTCCCGAAAGGCTCCCAGTCCCCCGGTGCTGCCATCCCTGTTCACCATCAAGGCTTTAAGGTTATCTGCTCTATTGACGGGAGTATGGATTGAGTGGAATTAGAAACCTCGAAGGCTAAAAATACAGCTCCCTGCCAGGAAATGCGGCAGCCTGCTGGGAGGGCGCTGGGTGGCACCGAAACTTTTCCGGGAACTGGCATGTTCCATGTGAGCCCCACAGCCCAGCATCCGCGCCCGTCCCCGGGTTCCCCGGGCGGGACCGTGGCTGGCATCTCTGCCAAGAGCGGGAGAAGGTGGCGGGAGCCCTGGCTTTGCTGTCGGGGCTGTGCTGTGGGTGTCCTCACCCGCCAGGCAGGGATGCAGATGATGGAGGAATTTGGCCATGTGCTGTGCGGTGTGAAGTAGGGTCTGTGGCGTGGTCAGCCCTGTCTTGCTGTTGCTGGATGGGATGGGGAGAGAAATTGGGGAGAAAATGCTGCCCGTCTGTGCTGCAAAGGGTTGCTAGAGGAGAAGCGCAGGCTGGCGTGTTGCCCGGGCAGCTGCTCTGAGACCTCACAAACTCATGCCATGAGCACAAGCTCCCCATGAACCGCGTGTTCCTGGGGATGGTGCGAGGGGAGCCACTGCCTGCGGGGAGCCCCAGCCACCTCCTGGCTGATGCTCCAGCGTGCCCCTGGCCACGCCAGGCTGGTGGGAATTACGTGCCAGGCAGCTGGGCAGCTCTCCCACCGCCACTCTTGCTGTGGTACAGTGGCATGCCCGGCCCGGGGCTGCCTTTCCCAGCTTGGTGCCACAATGCTGAGCTGTTTTGCTGGCTGGCTCCGAAAAGCAGGGTAGCACCCAGGGCAGCACGGACCCTTTTGGGGACGCGCTGCCCATTGCCTCCTGGCTTTGCGGGGCGAGCTTGGTCCCAGAGACTGGAAGCATCAGGGTTGCCCTGCCCAGCGTAGTGTGAATGAGACCCGAAGCCAGGGCTGTTGCTCTGCCTCCCCGAGCGTGAAATCGGTCGGTGCCGACGCGTGGCCATAGCATTGATGAAGTGTGTAATAGGCTGGGGGCAGAAGTGGTGCTGCCCTGTGGGGAAAAAACAAAGTGCTGCAGCATCCCTGCCAGCATGGGCTAGCCACCACCTTGCTGCGCTTCTCCCTGGGCTGCGGGATGTGGATCTTCCCCGGCAGCGTGTGGCGGGCAGCGGCAAAGCTGTGCAGGGAGAGGATCCTCTCAGCACCAGCCGTCTGGCTAATGCTGCACCATCTGCTTTGGAGGGTGAGGCAAGGTGAACGGCAAGCTTTCGAGGAGCCCATAAATCCTGCGTGCAAAGGCTCTTCTTGGAGGTGACTCAAGATGTGCGTGGAGCAGTGCTGCTTCTGGCTGCTCCCCGTGCTAGAAATTCTCAGGAAGCGTAGTCTGGGGGGATCAGTGATCCCCCCTGAAGGTGTTTGGTGATGTTCCATGGGCTGAGACTCTGGGCTTGCCTGGGAAAAGTCCTTTAGCAGAATGTGCTTCGGTGCAGTTGGAAGCTCTACGTAGGTGGAAATGGTGGTGACGGTGGGGTGCCTGGTGCCCCCTCCCCTCCAGCACCCAGGCTGCTGCTCAGTGAGAAAAAGTATAACGCCTCGGTGTTGAAAAATGACTAATCCAGACCTTGGAGGGTTTGTAGGATACATTCCTTTCTCGCGGTCGATAAAGATAAAGGGGATCGTTCTGCCAGCAAAATTAGTGTATCAAAGAGGGGGGAAAAAATGACAAGTGCTGCGGAGACAGAAAAATGGTTGGGGCAGCCCCGGGATGGTGCCCAGCATCACCATGACACCTGTGCCTGTACCTTGTGCCACGGAGGTGGGCAGGAGCACAGTGCACCCCTGCCCACCTCCGCGGCACGAGATGCAGGCACAGGCGCCGCGGTGATGCTGGGGAGCACTGCCCTGCCTGGGCTTGCCGGCGGTTTGCAGAGAGCCATGAGAGACCCATCCATCATGCCGAGGCAGCCGTCTGTCCGTCTGTCCGTCAGGAAGAGGGGATGATGCCGTGTGTCACGGGCAGCCCCGGCCGCTTTCCAGCCGGCGGTTGGCCTCCCCTCGCCTTCCCGGCACCGCTGCCGGCTGTCGGTGAGGGGCCGCGGGGAGCGTTCGCGCCTCGGCTGGGGGCTGCGTGGAGGGGAGGCTAATGTACCGGAGGTGCCTCGGAAATGAGAGCCTTGGATGGGTTCCTGGCCCTATTGATCCGCCGGCAGTTTATGCATCCTGACATTCATAATCTCGGTCGGCGCTGATGGTCCAGATTAATGGGCCCGGGGGCTGTCCATCCGTCACTTCACATTAATTACTGAAGAGGTGTTTTTCCAGTGATTTACCTGACAGCGGCCCATGATGAATCCCCCTAAACAGAGTGGGCAGTGATTAATCATGGGGCCCCGGCCCAGCCCCACTCTACCTTCCCCTCAACCGCAGTGCAGCCCCCCACACCATCCGTCTCCATAAACCCTGCCTGATGCATATTTATAGGGGCAGGGGGGCCTGGCAGCTCGCAGTGTGCCTGCTGCTGCCAAAGATGATGAAAAATAAATCTCTGCTGGGACGGGGCAGCAGGTGAGCGGGGCTGTGGTGTGCTGGTGTGGCAGCCGTGGGCCTGTGCTGGGGTGTCCCTGGGCTGGGGTGTGGTTTATGGTGCTCCGTGGCCACCGTGGGCTTCTCCATGGTTTTTGACGCATGAACAGTGCAAGGGCTCTGTGTCCTGCTTTGGCCGCAGCCGCTGGCCCCTGGGGCTGGGGGGTCCCAGGCAGCAGCTGCCGGAGTGGATCAGGCACCCCCATGGTCTGGGCAGGGTTTTCTTGCTTTCACCAAGCCCGGTACACCCCGCCGAAGGCTGTAGGGCTGTGGGGTGCTCCAGCTGTCAAACCTCGTCTGCAGAGCCACTACAGCGGGTACAGTGTTGGGACTTTGCTATCCATCGCTGTGTGCTGGCTGCTGTGGGAGCGTGGGTGGGTGTCAGTCTGGGACCCCCGACCCACTCCCCTGGGCAGGGGCTGCCCACTGTGTGCCTGGCTGTGGGGCCACTGGGACACGGGCAGGGCGGTGACACTGTCTCTCCTTGACAGGCAGCAGCGGCACCATGCAGCAGGAGGCGGAGGGTGGCCGGCTGCGCCGCAGGAAGCCCGACATGGCCCTCTACGTGCCCAAAGCGCGGCGGGAGAGAGCGGCGCAGGTGGTGGGTGACACACTGGCTGGGATCCGGCAGGAGCCCAAGAACTACTGCCTGGCGCAGGGCACTTGCCGGGGCAACAGCGAGAGCCAGAGGCGAAGCCCCTGTGCCAGGATGCAGGCGGGCAGAGCAGCAAGGAGGGAGAGCAAGGTGGATGCCAGCCCGAAGGAACCACGGGCAGCCTCTGCTGGGCACTGCCGGCGGCTGGGACGGAGCTGCCCCACTGCACCGGAGGGCCCGGGGGCATCAGCCAGCATGCGGGAGCTGTGCCCAGATCCAGCTGTTGCTCAGCTCTGTGATGGGCAGGACAAAGCATCCTATGATGAAGGACTCAGGGGGCTCGGCCACGGCCATCGGATGATAAGAACTGAGCCTGAACCTCCATCCCCACCAAGTGCCCAGCCTGGGGCGACAGAGGCTACCTCTGATCCCGGGGGCAACCCCGCTAGCCCAACACCCCCTGCTAGCCCAATGCTGGCATGTCGGACAGGGCCGAGCAGTGTGTCGGAGCATTTGGGGGACAGCACCCCTGATCCAGCTGGAGACTTCTCCCATCACCCAGGAGAGGGTGTGCTGCAGCTGGCAGAGCTGGGCAGTGTGCCCGGGCTGGGATGGGAGCTTGCAGGTCCAAAAGCCCAGGAGGAGGAGAGGGAGCATGTAGGGTCTCTCCTGGCAGGGGAGAGCGAGAGCTGTGCCGCTGGGGTGCCAGAGGAGGAGGAGGAGAGGTGGGGAGGCATGGCTGAGCTTGCTGGGGAGAGCTTGGAAGCACCAGGAGCAGCCAGCTGCAAACCTGGGTGCTCGAGGGGTGGCACGGGTGATGCACCAGTGCTCCCAGGGGAGAGCACCCTAGGGCAGGGCATTGTCAGCCTGTCCCAGCTCCCACCCAGCAAGGAGGAGAGCACTGCTGGTGCCGAGCACCCCAGGGGAGAGGGCGACCTGGTGCCCGCTGTGGAGGGAGCGGGCAGCACTTCTGCCTGCACAGACGGCAGCGCCAGGGCTGAGAGTGGCCCGCTGGATGCTGATGATGAGCCGGTGAGCGGTGTGTGGGAGGGGGCACCCCCAGAGAACCATAAGCCCCCACCGCCCCTGGAGCTTCTGTGCCATGGTGTAGAGGGGCTCTCACCCACAGCCTGGGTGGAGGAGCCAGCAGGGGCAAACAGGGACGTGGGCTCACCACAGCAGCACCAGTGCAGCCGGGAGGCTGAGGAGAAAGAGGGAGGTCTCTGCAGTGGGTCCCCAAAGCCAGAGCAGACCAGTTCTGGGACCCCGAGCCAGGCCAGCCCAGGTGCTGAGGAGAGCTGGGACGCTCTGTTCAACGACGATGGGGACTGCCTGGACCCACGCCTGCTGGAGGAGGTACGTCCTGCGAGCTGCGGGGGTTTGCAGGGGTGGTGGCTGCTGCTGCTGGGATGTGGGGACCAGGGTCCGTGGTGATTTGCTGTCCCTGTGTCCTCTGGGGTGGGTGAGTGGCAGGGCAGGCTGCCCCCGGGGCATGTGGCCAGCCCGGATGCACTGCCTGCTCTCGCTGCCAGCCATCCTCGAGGGCACGAGCTGCCTGGGTGCCGAAACGCCAGGAACCTCCACCTTGCCCCCTGGCTGGTTCCCATCCCACGGTGCTGGTGAAGGCTGGGGGAGAGCTTTCCTCTGTAGTACATAAAGCGCACCCAGCAAAACCTGCTCAAGCACCATAAACCGCAACTGCACCCTCGTGAAACCAGGGCTGGTGATAAAGAAATGGGCTGAGACGTATGGGCTCCCATTGAAATAGCAATGGGAAGTTTCCTCGAAACTATGGCTTCTTAATCAGCTGTGGCTCATTAACATCCCCTCCTGCACGCGTGCAGCTGAATTTACTACAATTAGCTACTTAGCACCAGGACCCACGCCGTTTTCCTGCCATTCGTGACGAAAGCTCAGCTTCTGCAGTGAGGCTGGATATCCCTTATTGCATTTTAAATCAGTAGCATCAAACTGGTAATTTTCCGAATGACATTAATGTGCCCAAAGTAACAAACAGCGCTAATATTGTTACACCCAGCGTCGGTCCACTCTGGGCTGGAAGCAGGATGTGAAGTGGCAGATGGTGCTTGATAACAGCTTCTGGGAAGGGAGGAGATTAAGTCAAGAGTATTGTTACTGGGGAGCATTGGTACCCACCTTGTTCTCGGGGCTGTGCTTGGGCTGGTGTGCCCTCGCCAAACCTGGTGTGGGGCTGGGACAGGGTGTGGGACGCTCAGGGCTCGCCTCTGGGACTGCTCGGAGGGAGATGTGGAAGAGCTTTGGGTACCCTCACCCCTGCCTGGCTGTGGTCCCCCCAGCTGCGGTTCCCCACCGTCCTCCAGCCAGGAGGCTGCGGTGAGTGCCGGTGCGAGGGGGACGGTGCTGCTGCTCCGACAGCAGCTGGCAGACTTGGCGCTGGCTTTCCGTGGGCTGGCGCGGGGGGCATGGCTTCGTCCTTGGCCCCGCGGGGGAGGCAGGTCAGGGAGGGCCCGCGTTACGGCGCGGCTGTAGGATGCTGCAGGCAATGTTGTGCTGTGCAGCACCGGTGCTGTCAACAGCTCTGGAGTGGCCACGTTCGCTCCCCCGTGCGCAAGGTCTGAACAGAGTTTGAGCTTTCCAGGGAGCTTCTGAAAATGAGTGAATAAGAGCCTGAAAAAGGGATATATCTATTAAAAGTTGCCATCTTAACCCCCCTGCAGATTCCCATGCCGAGCCTGGTGCTTCCAGAGCTCTCTGAGCAATCGGCAGGCGGACGTGGCTGTTCAGGGAGGGCACAGGCTCTTGGGGAGATGGAGCTGTTGTTAATTAACAAAAAGGACAAGAAAATTAGTAGCGTTCTTCCTCGTAACCAAATCCTTATGCGCTGCAGATAGCCGGCAGAGAGCAAGATTTATGACGTTCTATGTGGAGGAGAGATTTCTGATAGCAGACAGCTCTTTAATCTAGCAGGAAAAAACACCATAGCAAGATCCATTGGCTGGAAGCTGAAACCAGACAAATTCAGAGTAGAAATCAGTTTGAACGCAGAGTGTAATTAAGCACTGCGACCATTTCCTTGCAGGCTCGGTGGACTCTCCATCAGCCGGTGTGGCGTGCTGGGGGCCGCGGTGCGTGTGTGCCGGTGTGCGCCTCCCCTCCAGCTCTGGAGGTGCGCTCCCAGCAAGCGAGCAGGAGCGTAAGCAAGCGGCCATGGACCCTTCTAACACGCTCCAGCAAGGGTGTGTCTTTACAGAGCAGAGAGGCATGACAGACAGGCTTCATTTCCTGCCTCTGCCGTCTGTCTGTCCATCCGTCCGCAGACCCTTCCCAGTGCTGGGTGCCTGTCAGGGCTGGGGTCCGTACCCGGGCTCCCTCTCCCTGCCCTGCCCCATGGCAGGGGGCTGTGGGCACCCTGTGTGCCCGGGCTGGCAGCGTGGGGGGGAACCTGTTGAGCTGTGCCTGCCGTGCGGCTGAGCCCGGCTGCCAGACGGCTCCCGTCCTTGCCGCCCCGCCACACTTTGTGATTTGTGAAGGTCAAGAACCGCTCCGGCACTCTCTGCTCCTGCTCTCTAATCATCTTCCCGGCGCCTGGCACTAGCCGAGTGCTCTGCTCCCTCAAGCGGTACCTCAGGGCTTCATCTTGCCCGGGGACGGCTCCTTTGCCTCCCCGGAGCGGGTAGGGGTGCCTGATGAGTGCGCGGTTAATGGGTGATGGTGGTGGGGCAAGTGGCTCTGCCAGCAGTGCTAGCCTGTCCCGTGAGCTCCATAACTCAGCTCTACCCTCCACCGGCATCCAGCCGCCCTGGCAGCACCCCCTCACCTGCCGTGAATCCATCTTCCCCATAAAATTGTCGGAATGAGCACTTTTTATTGACTGAGCTGGCTGGGATTTATGGACTCTAACCTTCCAGCCGTGGTGTGCTCTGCTACGATCGCTTGGGGGATCGGGCTGGGAACCCGGCTGAGTTATGTACCCACTCCCCACCACCACTCCAGCTCCACGCTCCAGGGGGGATGGGGGAGTCACCGCTGGCTTTGGACTGTGCCTGGCCCGGTGTCTCAGCCAGAGCAGGGCCATGAACCCCCTCACTGCTAGCATAGCATGGTTTGGAAAGCAGGGGTGCAGTAGGTGATGCGGGGTGGCCCACTGGGCAGAAAGTGCTGCAGAGTCGCCCACCGGCACTGATGCTGCAAGGCAGAGGGGAGCAGGGGGGCAGCTGCACCCCCATGTTGTGGCAGTGAGAGAGTGCTACCCATGTTTTAAAATAAAGGTTGAAAAATGGGAGAGGTAGAAAAGTGCTACAGCCATCATCTTTTAGGGCTGGAGAAAGTGCCCCGCTGTGAGATACTAAAGGTGCACAACCCGTTTAGCTTATCAAGAAGAAGATTGAGAAGGGACTTGATTAGCATGAGTAAGTGCCATCACGGGGAGGGGACCGGGGACTGAGGACTCTTTAATCCAACGGAGAGGCAGAACAAGAACCGCCGGCTGGAAAGTGAAGCCAGACAAATTCAAATGAGAAATAAGGCATAAATTTTTAGCCACACAGGTGATTAACCACCAGAACTTGCTCCTCAGGGGAGCGCTGGCTTTTCCATCTCGGCGCCTGGGGTGCTGACGAGCTGCTCCAGTGCCTGTGCTGCAGCTGGGGCACGCCGAGCCCCGTGCTCCCATGCAGCGGGCAGACCTCAGTCTTTCCTCCCGGCCTTGCTGTCCTGTTCATTGTTGTTCCCCAAATGTATTTCGGGTCAGCACGTCACTGTGGAAGGAGGGGTGCGTTTGGGGATGCACGTGCTGTCTCACTGGTGCCATTCCTGCTGTGTCCCCAGTGAGTCTGCAGAGTGTGGCAAATGAAGGGATGCTGGTAATGGGAACAGAGGGTGCATGGTGTGAGAGCACGGGTCGGTAACTCCTAATATCTCAGTGCCACGAATCCATCTGCAGTGCTGGGGCGGGATGCGGGGGCCAGGCCACTTCCAGGGGAGTGCTTGCCATGGATCAGGAGCTGGCGTGGGGCGGGTGGGCATGGCTTGCTCAGTGCTGTGCCTCTCCCACCCCTGCAGCTCTCGGGAGGTGAGAAGCACCGGGAGAGGCAGCAGTCACCCCGCTTTGACTACTACGGGGCTGAGCCCACCGCACTGGACCTCAGCGATGCCGAACTGCCACATGTCATCGAGATCTATGATTTCCCCTCGGATTTCCGCACCGAGGACCTGCTTCGTGTCTTCTGCAGCTATCAGTGAGTCTGCTGGCGATGCCCTGTCCCCAGCACTGGGGTCCCCTGCCTGGGCTCTGCTCTGGACCCCTGCTCACCCAGTGCTGATGCCTTGCTGAGCTTCCCTCTCTCTGGCAGGAAAAAAGGCTTTGATATTAAGTGGGTGGATGATACACATGCCCTGGGCATCTTCTCCAGCCCCATAACAGGTACCGCTCCCAGTTTAGCTGGGGATGGGCAGAGGGGAGGCATCCCTGCCCCTCCCATGGCCAGATCCTGGGCATGGGGCTGGTCCCACACGCAGACACCACTGCTCTCTCCCTGCAGCACGTGATGCCCTCAGCACCAAGCACCTGATGGTGAAGACGCGCCCGCTCTCCCAGGGCACCCGCGCCTCTAAAGCCAAAGCCAGGGCGTACTCCGGTGAGTGACGCTACCCCGTGCCAGCTTGTGCCGTGGTGCTTGTGCTGCAGCATCTTTAACCCAATAACTGGGGAGGAATGGGAGCATTTAAGTGCTGCGGAGCCGTGCTGGCTGCCCTGTCCCTCCCAGGATGCCCCTACTGATGTCCCCCATTTCTGCTCACGCAGAATACCTGCAGCCAGCCAAGGAGCGCCCCGAAACGTCGGCTGCCCTGGCCAGGCGGCTGGTGATCGGTGCCCTGGGGGTACGCAGCAACCAGACGCCAGCCCAGCGAGATGCCGAACGGAGGAAGCTGCAAGAAGCCCGAGGTGAGATTTGGGTGCTTGGGGGGGGGGGGCTGTGGTGTGGGGGGACTCTTCCTGTGGCTGCCCCTTCTCACAGGGTGCTGGGTGGGAAGGGACTGTGCCAGAGTGTGCTCCAGCCAGCTCTGCAGGGTCGTGGGTAGCTGTGGGGTGATGGGGATGTGGGGTTGACCCTCCTCTTGTCTCTGCAGAGAGGAAGCGCCTGGAGAACAAACAGCGGGAGGATGCCTGGGAGGGCCGGGACTGAGCTGGGAAGCTGCACCTTCAGCCCCACTGAGAACACCCCTGGGGTGCCTGCACCCCAATTTGTGGGCAGGCAGGGCACCCTGCATCTCAGAGCTGGGACGGATGCCGCACCGCATCCAAAAGCAGTGGGCTGCTCCCCCGATAGGGCTGAGCAGGGTGTGCGCAGGCTGGTCGGTGCTGTGCAGATGCCGTCGCTGTCTTGGTGCTGCCCGTCCTGCCCGGGGCGGGACCCCTGGTGCTGCCTGCTGCGGCGGGAGCAGCCGGCGGGACGCAGGGAGCTCGGCAGCGAGTGTGCGGGGCCGTGCGGGACGGCCCTGGCCACCTGGCAGGGCCTTGCGAGCGAGAGTTTCAGTCCTTTATTTTGCTAATAAATACCATTTATTTTACTGCGGTTGGCCTGGCTGTGGCTCTCCATGCTCCTGCGTGCTGGGGAGGGGGGCTTGCGTGCCGGGGGCTGCCGTGCATGGCCCCCACTGCTGTGGGGTTGTCCGCCCCTCCCAGGTGGTGGGTGTCTGTGGCGCGTGGGTGAGGGGGTGCAGGCAGGAGGGGCTGGGCAGGGCAGCGGTCAGGAATGTGCTGGCAAGGACCCTGTTTACTTCCGCAGCGCAGCTGCAGCCCTGAACAGCGGGGCCCTTGTCGGTGCGCGGGCAGGGCCCCATTCCCGGCCCTGCGTGGGGCTGTGATGTGGTGGCACAGCCGGCTCCGGTGGGCTGGGGGCTTCCTGCCCTGCCCCGGGATGGGGGCACGGGTGGGCGGCTGGGACCTGCTTTGCATCGTCTCACAGCACCTGAAAAACAGCCCTGTGTGCCCCAGCACTCCCTCCCTGTAGACCCTCGAGCTCTTGTGGTCACAGCTGTGGGACTCCTGTGCCCTTCGCAGCAGGTGGGGATGGGGACGGTGCTTTTCTGTCACCCCTGCCGGCGGTTTGCATGTTTTTGGCCGTGGCTGCCTTGCCCCAGCCTGCACTGAAGGGCTCGTGTGGCTGCCCCGTGTCCCCTGGCTGTCCCCCAGCTTGGCAGCGGTGGAGCTGGTCACGACCCCGCGGCGGTGGCTGCCTGCCCCCGCGCCGGCGGCACTGCCAGCTGGGAGCCAGCTTGGCCGCTACTCCTGGCCACTCGCGGCTCAGGCAGTGGAAAGTTCAGGGCGTGAAGCTGCTCTCGTGTGGAAAGCATCTTCCCCACCTTCCGGCATCCCTTGCACCCTGACCACGGTGGAGCGAGCCTCTGCTGGCATGTGGTTCGCCATGTCCCCTGGCCTTGGGCCGCCCCAATGTGTCACCGCTGTCCCCAGCAGCTCTGCCATGTGTGGGGACCATCACGTGTGGGTACAACCCAGCCTGTCCTGGCTGTGCTGGGCCAAGGTGGGTGCTAAGCAGCACCCCCACCCTGGGCTGGTGTCTGCCAGCAAGGCGGGGAGGGGCAGGAGTGTGCAAGGAATGGGGTGACATTTCCCAGTAGCTGGCTGGCTGGGGACTGGGCAGTACAGAGTGTAGGTTGGTGGCATTCCCATTTATTTCCTTTTATAAAAAAAAAAAAAAGCTAAAAACCACGGGAGGAAAGAAACACAGAGTAAGGGCATGGTGTCCCCTGTGTCCTCACCCTGTTCTCGGGAGCAAGGGCTTTGAGGGGCGGAGCGGCCCCATCCCTGCTCTCAGGGCTGGGAAGCTGCCAGGGCAACCCCTGGGAAAGCCTGGCAGGGCGGCTGCAGCCGCGGTGGCCAGTGGGCTGGCTGCTGGCCCACGCTGCCATGGAGCTGGCCCAGTTTGTCTGTGTGCACGGGGTCAGCCAGTTCAGGGCCAGGGTTTCCCAGCCAGTGAGGACTGCTGGTGGCGAGCGAGCTGGAGCCACTTGGCACCAGGCAAAGGCAGCTAGCCCGAGGGCTGGTGGTCCTGAGTGGAGGAGAGGCGGGGAACACTTACTGGCCAGGGGGACATCATCTAGACAAGGGACTGGCTGCATGGTCCTGCTGGGAAACAGTGCAGGGGAAGGAGCAGGGGATAGTGGGGGTGATAAGAGGGTACCCCCTCTCCCATCGCACAGCACCTTTATTGAGGACAGGACTGGTGCACAGGTGGCAGTGGCTGGGGCCTGTCATGAGCCTGCTGCGAGGTGGCAGGGGACCGGGTGGGCAGGCTGAGGTAGTCATCCTGGGGGGCACCAGAGTCGCAGAGGTGGGGGCTGCTGCAGTACCTGGGTCCCCTCTTGCAGGTCCTACTGGCAGCACAGGGCTAGGCACCCCCAGGCGCTCCTCAACAGCCCTGGCACTTGTCTCCATCTTCTGTGGCAGCATCAATAAATACAAAAGTCTGTGAGTCCCTGAGCTCAGCCCGGTGCTGCCAGGGCACAGGGGCTGGGGTGCAGGAGCCAGGCTGCCCCGTGGTGTTGCTGGGAGTGTGCCGATAATGGGGGTCACACAAGGTTGTTGGCCAGGCGCTCCCGTCGCTCCAGATCGCTCACCACGTCGGCGCCGTAGGCATCGCCTGGGGAGAGTGATGGTGTGAGTTCGGGGGGACACAGGAGCTGCAGCACTCCCAGCCCCACCACTTGCCCCCACCCTACCCCCTCTGCTCCCATCCCTCCATACTTGTGTGGCAGCCGTGCATCCAGATGCGCTGCCCGTCGTACTTGCACTGGCACCGCATCACATTGTTGGAGAAGTCTGACTCAGCCACCTCGTGCTTGGGGTTCACGATCACCTGGCGGGGGAGAGGGGCAGGGCTGGGGGGCACCACTGCCGTGCCTTGCCCAGCCGAGGCCATGACATGCAGCACCCTGCCGTGCAGGGTGAGGGGTGCTGGAGGTAACATGGAGGGTGGCCCCCAGCCCTCAGCTCCTGTGGCTTGGTGCCCCCCCACCCTCCCCTCCCCATACCTGGAAGGTGTAGCTGCCCGGCGGCACATCAGTGATGTCCACCCACTGGCAGTCGATGTCATGGCGGTAGGTGTCCCAGCACCCCACGCTCACCCCCTGCTCCCCAAAGTTGGCACAGGCAAAGCGCCGCTGCATCCCTGTGGGAGGGAGGGGAGGTGAGGGTGGGCACAGGCAGAGCCCCCTTCAGGGAGCAGGACGGGGGTGGGGTGGGGTGGGGTCGCTGGCAAATCTGTGGCTGGCACCTACCCTCAGGGCAGTTGGTGTCCTCCAGGCAAAAGCTGGCCTTGTGCCCTTCAGCCACCTTGGAGCCGTTGAGCGTCAGCAGGTCATAGTGGGTGAAGACCTCGATGCTATGGAAGTGCCTGTGGGGACAGGGGCTGAGCGCGGGGACGGTGCCCGGCCAGGGAGCATGTGGCCAGCCCAGCCGGGAGCAGGCAGCACCCAGAGGCTCTGAGCAAATTACAGCCTTGAAGCCAAATAAAGCTGTAATGACAGTGCCAGCGTGGATGCTGCTAATTACCCCGGGCGGGCCAGCCTCTGCGGGACGGGTGCCACTATGCCCTGCTTGGCCCGGGGAGGGTGCAGCCCTCTGCCAGCTCCTGCCCACGGGCCACTCACCGGTGGCACTGGTGCCAGGTCCAGGCATGTCGCCCCATCTTGGGTCGGAAATCGGCTCTGCCCAGGTTGTGGATCTGGGAGGAGAAGCGGAGGAGGCGGCGGTGGCCGTAGGGCCAGTGCATGTGGTCGGCGGAGCGGGAGAGGCAGCGTTCCTCGTGGGCGCAGTACAGCAGCCCCAGCGGCCGGTCCTCCAGGTAGGCTGTCTCCTGCACCAGCTGGGCGTTCATCACCAGGTCTGGGGCATCTGGCATGGAGGGGATGGGTGGGGATGGAGCAGGTGATCTCTGTGCCTGGAACTTCTCTGTGCCAGGAGGAGGGGGTTGCCCCCTCCCAGCAGTACCCCATGGGCTCCTGGTACTCACGGGTGGTGCAGGTGACCCCCGCCGAAAAGCGTCCCCCGCCGCTGGGGCAGTGGACAGGGCCGTGGCGCTGGCACTGCTGGAGGGCCAGCTCGGTGCCGGCACAGCGCACCCCACTCATCACCACCTGGGTGGCATCGGGGCTGCCTGCCCAGTACCACGTCTCCTGGGCAGAAGAGGAGCACAGCGCTCGGACCAGCCCTCGCACCCCCTGCCAGCACTCACCCCGCCTCCCCTAGCACTGCCACCAGGGCTGGTCCCCCTAGGCTGTCCCATCCTAGAGCCCCCAGCCACCCCGCGCATCCCGCCGGACCCCTCGCAGCCCAGACCGTGGGCTGGGGCCCTGCTCACCTGGAGGGCATGGCTGGCAAAGCCCAGCCCCAGCTGCCGGCAGACGACCATGGCCTCATTCAGCCCCCACTGAGCACCGCACACTGCACCCCACTGCAGCCGGCCCTGCACCGGCACCAGCACCTCCACCACACCTTCCTCGGGGCTGCGACCCCCCGCCAGCCGCACCTGCGGACAAAGAGGGGCTGAGCCAGAGCGTGGGGCAGACCCCCAGCCCTCCCAGACAGTGCGGCAGGCAGCCCCACACATCCAGCTGAACATCTCCCCCACCTTACTCTTCCTCCTCACAAGACCACTTTTGCCACTGGCTCGACATGCAGACCCCCACCAGCATCCTGCTCTGTGTCTGCCCCATCCCCTGGGCCACCCTGGGGCTGCTCTGAGCATCCACACTGGGCACAGAGCTTGGAGGGCAGGGGCTGTGCAATGGGTCTGGGGCTCCACAGGCTCTGGGGAGGAGGCAGGGGCTCACCTGGCTCTGGAAGTCCGTTTGGGGCATGTGGCAGCGGACAGCAGCATCAGCCTCGTGCTGGCACCCATCCCGCTCAGCGTTCTGGAAGCGGCACTCGCCCAGGGACTGCTCGTGGCCAGTGCACCGTACCTCACTCATGTGGATGGGCCCCAGGCCTGAAGCAGAGGGAGGGTCAGTGCTCCCTGCTCTGTGCCCATCCTGGAGCAGGGAGGACCCCCATCCTCCCTCCCCCGGTCTGAGCGTTCCCTACGGGAAGGGGGCTGCCCGTGGCAGGAGCAGCCAGGGGAGCCCCATCCCAGGGCAGGCTGGAGCTGCCTGGACATTCCAGGATGCTCCAGCAGCACCCAGTAAACCAGGGGCTTTCCCCACTGTGCCCCTCCAAGCCCAGCGGCACCCTGAGTCCCTGCTGTGCTGCCTGCCTCACCTTGGCCCATTTGGGCTCCCGCCAGGGCCTGTTTCGCCGTCCCGTAGCCCAGTTGCCGGCACACCACGCTGGCCGCGGCCAGGTCCCACTGCTTGTCACACACGGTGCCCCACTGCCCGTGGCGCAGCACCTCCACCCTGCCCTCGCCAGCATGGGTGCCTGCTCGCAGCCGCACCGGGAGCACCTGGGCACGGGGAGCAGCCGGTCAGCGGCCCCAGGGCACAGCCACCCGCCTGCACCACAGGCACAAGTGAAAACAGGGTGGCTGGGTGCTGCCCGGCTCCGGGACCCTCTGTC